TCCTCCTCTGAGGAAACGTAATCGTGGAGAAATCGCCGACCGGACCGAGCAGGGGAAACCGATGACTCGTCGAGTTGTGAACCGGGCTGATGTGACGCTAGGCAGTCACAGCCCTCATGACACGGTGTCGATGAACAGGGATAAAGTGTGGGGTAGAAAACACGTGTATATTTACCTCTGAAGGGTCGTCAGCAGACATATGAACGAGCGCTTAGTGGTCGAGTGCCTACCTGCCAAACTCATCGTTGGTCAGGTCGAATCGTTGCGGGCTGGAATGGACGTGTCCGTAAGTAGCCTCGTGTGAGTACCGAGTCGTATAGGACACAAGATGGGACTATTACCGGGCAACGTGACGCGAGTAATTAATGCGAAACACCGTTGGAGTTACAAATGTTGAGCTTAATTCGCTTCTATTGTCCTCGTTGTGACACTCATTGACAAGATTACACCGGCCGACCCCTTACCCGTGCGGCTACTACCCAAGCTGATCAGCACCGGAGTTGTACTCAAAGCCGACGTACCTCGGTGCACGTCGCTTTTCAACTCGACGTTTGAATTGTTCGTTCGCTCGCTCCTGTGAGTTTCCTGCGTATCGGAGGACTTATTCGAGGGACTAGAGCATGACTGTTTCTTTCGGGTTCGACCATGATCATGAATCTCATGAAGAAGGAAAAACCATCAGCGCCGAGGCGTCTGTTTCTCCGTTTGAAAATTCCTTCTGGTTCGATCGCTTCTGCCCGCCGTCTTCGTCGCTCTTGCCGCCGCCGTCGTCGTCGTCGAAGACGTAGTGGTGGTGACGGTGTCTGCAGGAGTCGCGTCGATTTTCGACACATGTATTAAAAGTTCATTAATCAGCTGAAGACGACGAACAACAACTCGATTTGGTCTCTCCACGGCGGCGACTAATAGGCCCACAGTGCCCACATGATGTACAGGAGCAAGAGAAGAATTCTTGTGCTCGCTTGGATCGGTTGCCGCAGTGACCGGCTAGCTTTTTCTTGCTCGGTTTGCTGCTTGACTGACTGGCTGGCCGGAGGAATCCGACAACGACGAGCTAACTTCATTAGTCGGTGGACACGATTTCCTTCCCCGCGTGTCTCTATCGTTAATGGTTCAATCGTTTGTTCCCCCATCTATTCATCCTTCCGTCAGTTCGACGTCTGTCTATCCGTTCACTCGACCACTCGCCAGAATACGCTGGCGCTGTATCCACGCCTTTAGCGAAGACGGAATGCAGTGATAGAAGCTACCACGGAGCAGCTCGTCCTACCATTCAAATAATCGTAGCATTTCGCTCCTGCTCCCTGGAAGCTCAGCGCTCATCGAATGTGTCGCAAGAGATCAGCGGTGAGACTTCTGTACGGCGCCGGCTCTCCGCGCCGTATAGAAGTCTTATCTCAGCCAGGAAGCTCATTCTGATGTGGATATGCTCTCCGAATTCGTAATCATTTCCATAGCTTCTCTGGAGTTGAGCGGGCCGATTCCCGAGCCCAGCGGGAGTATCCGAGTTGTCCCATTCGTAAACCGACGGTGCGGACCGCAGAAGCCGAAAATCTTCCCGCGAGCTGTTCATAATTAAAGCACCACTGTCTAATTCGTCGATAATTATAATCACAAAATGATTGGAGACTTCCATCCCGTTTCGCACGGCTCCGCATTCAGCAACCGAGCTGCCAGATCGCCTATCTATAATTCATAAAGTCGTGCCAAATCGTTGGAAGAGGCATGGCTACGTGTCGATTGAAAACTATAGTGCGGTCTCAATCACTCAACATGGCTTGATTTGTATTCCATTTCCCGCAAACTAAATCTTGGAACAGCGCCATTGCTTGGAAAGATTGGAATTCCACTGCGAACTGGCTTCGCAATTCACGATTTCTCTCTAGACCCCCCTCCCCCCCGGCCCATCGAGGAGAGGTGGCTCGAGAGTGTCTCACAACAGTCAGACGTAGATGGTCGAGTATCATCGCCTAACGAGCCCAAGCCTTCCTCGGATCTCTATGGTGGCAAGTTTTTTAAGCTCTTGGGATTCTGGGAAGGTAAACAGCCGGGCGTTTGTCTACTCCACCAGTGAGGAACTCCAGTGATTGTTCTGACTTCATATCGCGGTGTATGCAATTAATTGAATTCGTTGTGTTGCGCGATATCCGAGCTCAGGCCATTAGCTCCAATTCTGACGGGCGTAACATAGAGCCGCTCGCTTTTTCAGTTGACCATTCGAATTAGAGAAAGTAAGAAAGAGTGACGGAGAGCAACGAAACAAATGGACAGCGAAGCGTAAAATTCTCATTCGGACGTCGTCGTCCGGGTGTGAATCGTAATTCTTGAGCATAAACCCCGATTGGTCGCTCGCTTCCCGCGCCGGTCGTTCTGGTTGTGTGTCTGATGTGTATGGGTCAGACGGAGCTTCTCATTGCTGCTGCCTTCGCCGGCGATATCTCTTGCCTGCCTCTTAAATCATATTTTCATACAACGAAAATGAATTAGAAAGGAAGCTCGCTAGGTGGCGGACGGACACACGGAATAGAGGAGCCGCATTGGAAGCAACAGAATCCGCCGAGCGGGTCGACGCCGGTGCCTCATTAGGACCGTTCCTCCGTAGGTGCGACGTGCGTCTGCCGCCGGCACTCATAGTTGATTTAGATTTTTATTGCCTCAAATTTGAGAATATATTTCGCTCCCTCCTTACTCAGTTACAGCGCTCTCGTGCTTTGTCGTCTACTTAATTGGTAGGCTCGTGCGTGACTGCATCGTTATTATGGAAGCGGCGGAAAATGAAACTCGGGCTCCTTTCAACCGGAAGTGATTCCGAAAAAACTACAAAAATACAGAAAGATGCGATGTCTCTCCTGACACTGTGTCCCAAGACGCCATTGCTCAGTCGAATTTGAGATGGTCGGCCGAAGAATTCTGGAGAGAAACTCGATTTTCTGCATAACTGGACAGCATCAGGATTCAAGGTGAGCTCCCGAATCTCGCCTTCGGATTAGCTCAGTGAACAACGTTTTGTCAGTTGTTGGCGAAACTTCAAGAGAGCTATCACAACGGACGTCCCTGCAGAAATGACGGTACTTTGAAATCCGAGGGTCGGTGGAACGGCACAACAATGGAATCGTAAGCGTCATCTCCGCTGAGAGTCTCATTTTGCTGAGATTCTGTAGTCTCGCGTGTCATCGGATCGCATTACTCGCTTGCCATCGTTGATCGAGAGGGTTTCTCCAACAGGCAAGGACGTATACCCCGACTGCGACGATCATTCGAGTGGAATAATGGAAGAGGAACGATGTTTTCAAATCATTGGGCGGGCTTCTCTCGGAGGCACAAATCTTCGTTCCCCCACCCCTTTTTCTCCTCCGTCGGCTTAGCGAAGGGCTTTTCTGTTGGCTTTTCATACCGTGGATCGCTTTCAGCCGGCTGCTCTGGAGAGTCAACCACCGATATCAATTACATGACGTGACTGAAACGCTCAGGTCTCGAATGACTCCATCCGGTCTGGAGACGAAAAATCTCGTTCGACGAACTTCGCTTGGTCCGAGAGTCAGTCAGTACGGCCCCCATTCATTCAATTGCTTCTAGCTTTGCATAAAGTTCCCATTTAGAAGGACGCGGCCTTTATTTACATGTCAGCGTTTGGTTGACATCGAGTCAGGAGACTAATTGCGATCTGAGGGTAGCGTCCGAAACGCTTCCGGTAATCGCGGAACCGAGGCCCCTGGAGACGACAGTTTAAACCACCTCTTCACCAGGGTTAATCCGTGGTGTGCTCAGATGGGTGCTCCTCGACCGCTAGTACGCTTGTTGTCGTCGAGGGGAGTGCTCGTCCACCAGAAAATCTTGAGGCTCGATTGGGAAGGATCGCATTCCATCCATGCCTTTTCATTGAGGAATCGATTTCCCATCCGCAGTCTACTCCGGGACACGCTGAGTTTTCAACAGGGAAGCTATGCCGCGAGGTTAGAATCCTCGCTCCACGCTCAGGTCCAGTTCGGGTGTTAGGTTCGGTTTGCTGCGAGCCTTCTTTTCAGCCGCTCGCTGGAACTAATGGTGTTTTTTTGAAATCGGGTCCTCATAGGAAGGACGTTTTCTGCAGAAAGAACAAAAGCACGAGGGAAGAGCGACCGAAATTCGAGGAGAGAGAAAATTCGCGGCGCTTGAGAAATGATTAATTCCTTCAAGCTCGTCAGCGTTTCAATTAGAAAATGCGCTTCTACGAAAAACAGGACGAGGTAGCGAGTGTATATCCATACGAGACAGGGGGGAGAGGAGGACGAGTGGGCAGGAGAAAGACAGGGACAGAAACCTTGTTATCCGACCGTCGACAAGCGCCGACGTGAAAATTTAAAAAATAAAGTACCTTTGCAGACGAGGCTACTGAAATCCTCAGGCAAAGACCGCGGCGGCGTTGTCGTCAGATGCTCCAAATCTTTTAAGAGCCTCTCTGTCTCTGTTCGCAGGGTCCTTTACACATGAGAAGATCGTTGAGCAATCACTGCCGATCTTGATCCGTTGGCTTGATCCATCCTGTCCATTTCTCGGCGGATGAGCAGACGCGAAGATTCGGAATTTTTGTTGTCAATGATGACGAGCTCGATGAAGACATCGTTGCTCCATCTTGAATCAATCTCCGTGGCTCGCCTGGCTCCATACCTGCACAGCGGGATACGTTAGATCAGCATTTCCACCGAAAGAGTACTCGCTCAAACGCTTTCTCGGTGAGAGATTCATCGTGGAGCTTCTTCGAGGATTCCCGTGCAGTGCTGGGTTTTTCGGGATCATCGGATGCTCAGGAGCGTTTTGCGTAGCAGCACACGTGTTCCGGGGAAGAATTCGGGGTGGATGATTCGCGTGGTGGGCGTTTCCACTTGCCACTTCACTGAAAACTCGAGATTCATGGGATTTCCTCGCCGCTACGATAACTGAACTCACAGGTCCTCCTTGGTCTCGGTACCGATACGGTCAAGGAACGCACAGGATGAGTTCCTTATCTCTTTCGTTTTCAGATCATAAAGCGCTGTCCCCAAGTCCTCCGATGCGTCCGACGACAGTTCTCAATGAAGAAGTCGACGTCTGCAGCGACTCTGCTTCGACGAAGGGAAGCTATCCTGAAGAGAGAAGCTCGCCGCAAGAATTCGGCGGCGATTATCCACGGAGAAAACAGCGGAGGTACAGAACAACGTTCACGAGTTTCCAGCTCGAGGAATTGGAGAAAGCTTTCTCCAGGACGCACTACCCGGACGTCTTCACGAGGTGTGTACGAGTGGTTGGATCTCAGAGCTGTCATTCGTCTTACGTAGACAGAATCGTTCGTCTCGGAAGCTACCTTGAAATCGGTAAACTGAGGCACGTCGAACGCGGAGCTAGATGCTTCGTATAAGCGGCGGATCCGAAATTCTTCCCGAGGGAGGGGGGCAATCGATGTATCTTGGGGGGGGGCGATCCCGAGTCCGCGCGCTGCTTCAACATGGGAGGTAGGGGGGAATCGAAAACTTATGGGAGGGGCGATCGCCCCCTTCTTCGGGATCCACCACCGCAGCATGCTGAGACGTCAGACGCAATCGTTCGATTCATGCACCGTTTCCGGATCCACTGATTTTCACTGCGAGAATTTCGGGGCTCGATCATGTCGGCTCTTTCATTGATAGCAAAACCGTGGCCATGGGAATTTCGGTTTTGATGGAAATGGTTCAGTGCCCTTATGGAATCCCTCCCTTACGTCGCGTACTGGGTCTGGCTCTTGCGTCCACTACAGCTTGCTCCGTTTTCTCTTCCTCCCCCCTCGCATCGATCGGTTCTCGGAAACAGAACAGCTTCAATTTCTTCTGGCCGCGTCGTGACGTCGTCATTAAAGAGAACCTCCTACTTTTTCACAAGGTGTCGCTGCCCGGCTGCCTTAACGCTTCGATAATAATCAAATACGGGGCTCGAAATCTTCATTTAGCAGTGGCGTGAATTGAAGACTATCATTGTCAGATAGACTCACAGTCCCCTCTTCTTCTAGGGAAGAGTTAGCTGTCCGGGTCGACCTCACCGAAGCTCGAGTGCAGGTCTGGTTCCAAAACCGCCGCGCCAAGTGGCGGAAACAGGAGAAAACATCTTCTCCTACACGCGGAGATTTCAGCTCGGCGCAAAGCCTCGCCCCGACTGGTCCTTCTTTACCTCCGAGTCCTATCTTCACTCGTCCCACCCATACGCCGAATATCAGCGTATCTGCGCCTGCTGAGCGGAAAGACCTCATATTCAGGCCCTATCTTAGTCCACCGTGTCTTCCAATGGCCGCGATGCCTTCGCCCTTGATGGCGAATCCTTTCATCCACTCCCTCCCAGCATTCAACCCGTTCCTACCACCAGCCCTTTCAAGCCTGTACGCCAACTCGAGCATTCAGTCTTGGTTCCAAGCGATGCAAACTCAGTCCGCACCTTTAAAAATTGGCCAATCGGACCGCAGCCAACCCGAACTGGGCAACTTGGGTACACCACATGTCCGAGCTCAAAGTTCACCACTGAGAGCGCAGTCGCCGCTCCAAGTTCCGAAGTCTAGTCAAGACGGCAGCGCTCAGGACGATGAAGAGTCAAGGGAGACCGACAAGTAGATCATCGACATCATGGATAGCCCTTGCCGTACGACCCCGGCTTATCGAAAGAGGACAGATCAGAATCCCACTGGGAATCCCCCTCCCCTCAGCTAGCTCCGATACTTCAATGGCTGACAGAAGATTTGCGGAGTAGTGCTGCTCAAGATGAATACATTGTAAATATTGTTTTGACAATCAAAACATCCTTCAAGCGAAGAGCGCGTGCCTATCTCGCAATAGAGGAACTCATGAGGCGTCCTGCTAGAGGGACGACACATTGTTATCTGAAAATTTTATTGAACGATCTCGAGAAAACTCTAATAGGCAACGAGCACTGCTCGGACCATGATTAGCCGAATAAAAAAACCTTCTGAATGATAAACAAACCTCGATTTCCTCCCCAACTCCCGATAGGTATCGATTCCTGCCTCAGGTCGGTAAGATAAGCATGGAATCGGCATCATGTCAGGACAAATCGGATACGACAATTTCGCTTCGTCCTTCCATGCTTGATTGAGGGATTACTAGACTTCGAGCTCAAACACCGTGTTTCCCGGTGTCAATCATCTCTGAACTGGAACGGTAGCCGCCTTCGGGGTCCGGTTCCTCGAATCAGATGCATGCGACGACCCTTCTACGAAAGAGAACCAATTTGAAGAAATTAGGGACTACGCCAGCTCGTCCGTACGAGTCGTTCTATCCCAGGGTAAATTAGTCCGCACAGTAGGGACATCGGTGAGAAGAAGTCATGTCTAAATTGATTCTATTACTTCAGGAGCGTAATTTCCTAATTTATTTTCGTTCATAATTTCTGCGTCGTCGGTGTGGAGATTAGCACTATGGCCACCGCGAGCGTCGCTCGCTTTGAGCGGAACGGTCACGAGAAGAAAGAGGAAATCACTGCAACCGAGCTCGGTATCTCGTTACGGAAAAAGTGATGCCATCGTGATTTTAGAAGGTAGCGAAGAAATTGAAGAGAAAGAGGGACAACACCAACAACAACAGTCAGCGCCGGCGCCGGGCGCCGCCGTCGTAATCGAGTTGGTTGGTTGTGATCGTCTCGGAAGAACCGAATTCGACGTTCATCCGAGCAACGGGAGAGAAGTAGCATCGCTGCAACTGGCGGATTGTTTCCCGAGGTCTTCCGTGAAACTTGATTACATTCGATTGAATTTACTCTAAAGACGATAGTCGTGAACAAAAATGATGAAAACCCTCTCGGTCGATGTCAGCCATGCGGAGCGCGCGACCGACCGATCGAAGTTCGACCGATCGAAGCTCGACGGTAGAGACCCAGAAGGACCGTTTTACGGAACCATCACCCGATACAGTTTCGCTCCGGAGGAAAGAGCATCGAAAGAGTAGAATCGGGAACACGGAGCGCGCCTACGCAGAAACCTACCACCATGGCGTTGGCATCGACTTGCGGATCTCTCGTAAGTCATCGAGAATAGTATTGGAATCACATGTTCCGCGGAGAATTTTCGCGACGACTCCCCAGGTCTCGATTCGGCAGCCTCGTCGGAGTGGTCTGGGAAAATTCATGTTGTCCCTCGGAGTCCGAGAACGAAGAGTCTGCCCCGCGATCGATAAGAGATGTCGATGGCCCTCTTTTCGAAAAAAACGTTTCCTGGTCATACATACATCGGCGATCTCCACCAGGCTTGCGTTCAAATTCCGTGAACCGCATCTTCCACCATTCTGACGATTACGGGGGCAGCTCGATGCTCTTTTCAAAATATTGACGAGGATGAGCACTGAGGTCTGTCGAACGGGCTACCGCGCATAGTTTTCTTGATCAGATAAGAGCCACGGGTTCAGAGAAGTAAAATCTAAGTGAGTGTTGTTCATTAGTTTTCTTCAGGCAGATCGTTGCCGTCATTTAGAATTTGTCTCGTAAGCAGCCTCAAGCTCCCTCAATGAAGACGGATGATGTGTCGTCGCACCTAAGTCGAACTCTTCTTGCCGGAGCATAGGGGCTGTCGGAGAGAAAACTCCGCTGTGTGCGCGGCCGCTGGCAGTCCGAGCAGGCAGTCTACCAGTTCGCCAGTCAACCACCCCACTTATGGGATCGCATGAGAGTTCTGATGATTCTCTCTGTCGATGGCTGCGAGCGCGTGATCGTTTTCATACTCTCATGATGTTACACCCAATTAGCGCGTACCTTTTTTTTTCTCCTTCTACCTACCTTTCTCTAACTTTTCCTTCTGCTTCTGCTGCCTAATAGAGGCCAAGGATCTCTTTGTTATCAGGGCTGATGGAGATGCGATCTAGGCATTCGGAGAATTTCGCTCGCTCGACCTCTCACTTGTTCGCAGGGGAATGTCAACAGCTTCGCGTATGTGCTGTGTTTGAGTTTGCATCAGCGAGAAGGAGGCTTCTCTGACCCGCAGCAACGCCATTAAGTGAGAATCGTTTTCGCTTCTATCTTTCTATCGCAAATATTTGTGATCTCAATTTCCTGACTCGCACACCGCGAACGTTTTCTACCGAGCCTTCAGCGAAGCGATGAAGACCGACCGTTAAGGGAGCTCTCAAGCATGAACATCCTCCAGATACCGAAGCGAAGGATTTCATTCCCAAATCTTTCATCGCATTCGGGTCTGTAGGAAGTTCCTCTATTTTTTCGCAATGAATATCGCAGGCAGGGTTGAGAGAATAAAATTCGCATCCCAACGAGATTTCCCCAACGAGATTCCCCGAACGAGACCAAGTTTCTCCAATCCTTAGCTTCCACGCCTAATTCACTCGAGTAATTCCTTGGCGAGAAGGCCATTGTCCTTCGAGGTTCTCCGCTTGAGAATTAGTCGCATCTCTTGTTAATTCTCCCCGAGCGCGGCCGCTAATAAAATAAAGTTTCGCCTCCGCCTCGTTGGCCATCTCACGTTGATGGTGAAATTTGGTGCTGGTACCGCGTCTGGCTGCTGGCTAGCCGCTCGGTCGGTCAGACGAATGAGCCAACCACCGACCGATCGACCTGCCTAACGAACTGGCTGGATGCCTGGCCAGACACGTTTGATGGGGATCGTGACTTGATTAGGTTTTGTATATTATTAATGAACGAAACAATCAAATGATGGAATGCGCTCTGGTGAGAATAAAAGGAGGAGGTGTATAGACATTCAGTCATTTGGTCATAAAGTGAATGAGCCAGTTCTGGCTCCGTCAAATGCATCTCTATCCCGACTTCTGAGGAAACTTAATCGATTTCCCAGCGTCGAGGGAACCTTTCTCTAGATGTGCTCCTGTCTATAATATAACTCCGTTCTTCTCGACAGTTCTCATGGGTAAGAAGGAGCATCACGCAATGAGTCTAGTCTCAGGAGAATCTAAATCAATTTCTCTCTTCGCGCCCAGAGGCTCGGTGGCTGAGGTTTGGGATTGCGGCCTCGCGTACCGAGGCGCCACGTTCAGAATTCTCCGTCACCTTTGTCTCGCTGCGCCGTTTGCATTTCAATAATCCCATCGCTGCGTTCGATCTCCAGTCTGTTGTGAGCAAACGGCTCATCTCGCAAACTCCGAACATTTCAGCCATTGACGATATCCGGCGCCCCCTCCGTTATTCGGAAACCCGGAAAAATGCATAGTCCTAGACTAGTGCCATTTCTAGATGAACGTCGGTGATCTGAATGTTTTCCACTCGAACGCTCCCCGGTGTGGACTTTGGAGCCGCGGTACTCTCATGTCAGAGACTCATTCAGGATAAGAGTGTTCTTTCTTGACGAATGCTACGGTTGAACGAGTTCTGGGGAGGCTCAGCTCCATCTTCCTTGCCGAAAGCTCTATTTACGTGTGAGCGCCTGCCTTGGGATCCTAGCAAAAGTATTTTATCATTACATTAGGCTTCAATGAGGGTCTTCTTCTCGGTTAGTAGCATCCACGAACGAAAATGGCGAACATCTTATTTAGACAGAACGAATTGGAGAATTCAATTACGATTTTGAACCTGAGGAAACTCCTGCAGTATTCTCTGACTGGACCACACATACAAAAACAAGCGGCCTGGCTCAAAAGCGAAATTCTGAAAGAAATAGATCGTCTGTGTCGTTTCTCTTCGCTCGCTCGAGTCTGAGCTGATTCGCTTGCTTTACCTCTTCAGTCCTTTTTTCTGTTTGCTCCCCGAGAAATGATTCCCGGCACCGTGGAGGACCAATTCGATGACCTTGAGGGTGAGCCGAGGCTCGACAGTCTTGAGCCATCTCAAGTTCGCACACTTTATTTGTGCGCTTCATTCGATTGTGCTCTCTGAAGAAGAGGGATCCCTATCCGGAGTGATCACGGTCAGCAAAGCACGCGGGAGCGAATGATGGATAGCGATGGATAAAAAGCGACAAGGGATGATTTTAATTACAGCACCAAACATCGTATGGGGGAGAAAGAAACAATTCGGTCAGGTAGATACGAAACAAGGAATAAAAAATTAATTCGCTGCTGTCGAAGCACAAGTTGAAAAGAGCATCATTAACGACACATCGGCGATCCATCACAATGATGTTCAAATTGCTTTTCGATTGAGTACCGGTTATGGTGTTCGCTCGAAGTGTACGAGAATGGTCTTCGAGATGGTACCGGTTTCTTGAGAGCTTCCTTCATGTTCATGCCGAGTGAACATATAGCTTTCAGGGTTTCAGGATTTGACGAAATTCGCTGGATCCGAGTGGATCCTCCTGGGAGGCATCATTCAAGATTCAAGAACGAGCTTACTTCTTCTGTTATCCTCTCCTCGAGAGGAAAGAACGTAACATCTTGCGGAACTTTGGCGGGAGTGGGTCCTCACGATTCGGCTAGACGGCGAGCTTTCCAGAGAAACCGATCAAGGATTTCGGAAGCGTCAATAGGAGTCAATCCGGGGTAGAATTTTTTTTCACAGAGCTGGGAGCCCGCCGTGCCGTGCACTGCGTCATGAACAATCGAGGTCAGGGGTTGCTTCAATTACGCCGCATTACCGACTAAAGAGCGATGGTCGGCGAATTTTTCACGAAGCTCACCGATAAAAGCAGCCGAATTGAACGCTGGAT